AGGCCCATGTGCTACAGAAGTGAACACTGCCCCTAATTTTCGTAAAGAGCTAGGAAGTAGTGGTTCACCACTTTCAGGAATAAATTCATCTTTTTTCAGAAATGTACTTAAGTACATAGATCCAAGTTTTCCTGGTTCCTTTAACTGTCCAGAACAAATATTATCCTGAATCCAAGTAATGAGTTGCTTAGCCCGCTCCTCATTCTTTTCTAGTAATCTAAACACTCGAGGAATATCTTGTTGACCTCGGTTTTTTGCATATCCAGTTACAGTCCCATTAGATATACGCAAGTTTTTAATTTCAGCCGAACAAATACAGAGCATTATCATTATATCGGCTAGGGCCTGTTTGTCAGGTATATTTGATATATCATATTTATCCAATCTTTCCTTGACTGATTCTAACGAGAAGTGGTCTAGAAAATCAATTCCTTCATTTTCGCGTTGCTCGCTACGCTCCTTTTGAACTTTATTGGATAACCTAGTTACCTCCGGATTCAATGTAGCAGAAATTATTTTTTCTGAAGCGTTAAGGGGCCGTAATTCTCTTTGAAGCCTAGAGAGGAGGGATAAGGCAATCACAGCATCACAAGATGTTTCGACTAAGGTTCTAGATATTGTCTTTATATCTTTTTCACTAAGTTTATCTTTCATAATACGCTAAGCCGTTTGTTTGATAGTCTCCCCTTCTAGAGTGGTATCAGATACTAAGCATATATCCACATCTCCTCCTTCTTTGGAGATTACTTGGCTTTTACTTCTCCCAATTCTCTCGTGAGGAATTAATGCAAATGCTTGTTCTTTGCTAAATTCATACCCTTTTTGAAGGCGATTATGGGCCTGGTGCCTTTTTTCTTTATCTACTAGTAGTGTGCTAGTTGTTAAGAGCTCAAGTATTTTCGGTGCATATTGGCTAAGCTCTTCGAGACTCATCTCATTGGTGAGTTTGTGGTTTGTGACGAACTTGGTTGTAATAGCAGACATGATGTGGTGAGTAGAATATAGGGTGAGTGTTAGATTAATCTGTAGTTTTCAGATTATATATTCTAGGAAAAAAGTTAAATTCGAAAAATTTTTTCAGAGCTATACTTCTTCGAAAAGGGGAATATTAGAGATGGTTCTTGTCTAGATTAAGGGAGCGAAAAATATTATAACTTAAATAGGTAGCCCCTTTGGGACCCCATCTGCTCTGGCCGGAAATACCTAGGTTTTACAAAATTTGAAATCTGCAGGTAGATAGAATAAGCGAAAAAAATAGCTACGGAATCCTCATTCCAAAGCTATAAACAAACTTAAGGTCTAAAACCTATTTTGTGATCACATTTTAATAAAGTGCTCGTGCTAAAGCTAATATATGTTTTGGTTCTAAAACATTTGCCTCAGTGAACGCATCATATAAAGCACCTGGTTTATGTTTCGAAGGAGCTAAATTCGGGTGATGGAGAAATTTTATAAGTACATTACTTTTCCATTCCTGCATTTTTTTACTATTTCAGTCGATTTTTAATAACTTATTTGTAGCACTATCATTATATACTTTGAGTAAAATTTCTAACAAACTTACTTTTCTATTAATTAACATAAGTAAACTTTTTTCTGAATCATATGCGATCTCATTAGATATAAAAGAAAGGTATTCTCTCAATATTGGCATTTCATTGAATGGCGGAATTAAGA